CAATTTAAAAATTGTATTTTTCACTGATTACTTTACTACCTGAATAAAAACTGTTGCCAGCAGATGGCGTAAAACTCTGACATGTGTTGATTTTTCCCGCTTTTTTTCGTCTGTTATTGTTTTGCCTGTTGCTGCTGCAGCCTGTTTTTTTCCTGCGCCAAAATCAGTTTGGACCTTTTTTGACAAACTTGCGCATCAAACACCTCTCTTGTGCCTTGTGGCTGCCAGCAAAACAAGGTAGCCACTGTGTGAAGACTGTTTTCTTTGTGTCTGATTGTGTTGCTGCCATTCTCGCAGTATGCCATTCGAAGACTCCATTCCAACGGACGGTCATTATGAGGATGATGAAGAAGAAGAGTATGAGGACCACGGGGCGGAGGAGGAGGAAGAGCAGGACGGTCACGCCGCCGACGAGATATCCTTTCGCGACACGAAGAGCGACCAGGTGCTCTCCAGTCAGGTGGTGGCAGTCCTCAGCGAGCTCGGTCACTACAATCGCGTCACGAACACGTACCAGCTCAATCAGAACGACGCCAACGCCTGCCTGCGCGATCTGATTCGCTTCCTTCGCAATGATGGCGCCAACTTTCTGGTTCGCCGGCAAATGGGCATCTCCAACATCGTCAACAATGACCTGCTGCCCATTGTGGAGCAGCACACCGTCAACATGGACACCGGCGCCATCACCGAGGCGGGCAAGTCGATCATGGACAAGACCATCCGCCTGCTGGTCGATCTAACCAATCCCACCATGTTGCACTACAAAAATCAACAAGTACCAAAGGAGGACAAACACGAGGCAAAAATTTACCTGGAGCTTCAAGAGTTGCTCTTTCGCTACAAGGTGTCCTTTGCGATGCACAAGCGCTTCTGGATCGTCCTTTCCAAGCACTTGACGCGAATTCTCGCTCTTGATGAGTCTGAACGGCAGGTATGTTTGCTTTTAACTGTTCGATTAATTTCATTTTTACCAGCAATCATCCTCTACTATACTTGCCTAGGTTGAAGATGGCTTACTCTTTGAGCGGATCATTGTTTTGATTCGTAACGTCCTGCACATTCCAATAGTGGACAGCTCAACGTTGATCGACGACGATGTCACCGTCCAGGATCGTATCATTGAGCAGCTGCATCAGTCAAATGTTCTCGACATTCTTCAGTTCATGATTCAAGGGGAAGAGCATCGTGACTTTTGTTTTCATTTGGTGGAAATTATCTTTCTGATGCTGCGAGAGCAAAACGCCGAGTTCCTGGCAAAGTCCGTTGACGGCGACCCTCTGGCTTCGAAGCACCTGGACAGCATTACTCGAGAACAGCTGCTCGCCTCCTCCGGGCGAAGTCAGTACGAGCGTGAATACGATCGACGGGAAATTGATGAGATTCGCGAGCGAGACCGCCAACTGTCCGCCGACGTATTGGCCATGGCAAAGGCGAAAACGGGAACCTCTCGGCTGGCCCGTCCAACCTACGTCGTGAAGAACTTGAAGTCCATCTCCGACCACGACATTATCTGTCACCAGCCCTTCCTCAATCCCGAGGTGGAGATTGACTTCAACAAGAACAAGTCGGCGAAGATTCGGCCACGCAATCACCGGCCCATGCAGGAGAACATGGACAACTCTGACGCCCTCGGTGTGCAGCGAGTTCACCGCTCCAGTCGCAAACTGCGCCTCATTCTGCACCAGTTCTGCGACAACTTTCTCTCCGAGTGCTACAACGACTTCATGCTGACGCTGCGCTCCAATCTCAGTCGCGGCAGTGCCATGGACAACGACGAGACGTACTACCTCTGGGCGATGCAGTTCTTCATGGAGTTCAACCGTTGTCGGCCGAAGGCTTCCGCGGAGGACCGGTACCGCCACGTGTACCAGACGCTGGCCACCTCCACCTTTCACTACCTGCAGACACTGGTGGACAACTACATTGACCACCTGGCGCAGAAGAAGCTCTTCAAGCTGGAGCTCGGCGACTGGGCGAAGCGGCTGCACTGCGCCCTGCGCAGCTACAAGGAGATGCTCTTCTCGCTGTCGGCCATCGAGCGCCTCGGTCTTCCGGAGGCGGCCAAGATGTGCCACCGAATTAAGCAGGACATCTTCACGGAGCCGGACTACCGCGAGCTGCTGCTGAAGCTGCTACTCTGCTACAACGAGGAGCGAATGTCGAAGGCCTACCTGAGAGACCTCATCGAGACGAATCACATCTTTCTGAAGATGCTGGAGTACCACGCAAAGATCAGCTATGACTTCAAGGTAAGGGGTGTTTCCTTGATGTTGGCGTCACAGACAACCGACTGAACTTGTATTAATTTTTTACTTTTCAGATCAAAGTTAAGAGCACTAGACGGAAGAGGTCTAAAAAGAATGCAAAGAAAGGAGAGGATGCTGAGAAAGACAGCTCGAATGAGCCGGCCGAATCTGATGTCCCAGTTAACCCGGAAGAGCTGTGGATTGAACTTCTCGATGAGGTCTCCAAAACACTGAACGCCGAAAAGCTGTCGGAAGAGTCGGTCATTGGCACTTTTGAGGAGTTGCGCGAGCTATTTGATCCGCTGAACGGCGCCAACATTGAGGACCAAAAGCTCGGCTCAATGAGGCGAATTTGCGGTCTTTTACGGCAAAAGCAAGTGGAACCGGCTGTACGGCTGTTTCGTGAAACTCGCAATGTTCTGAGCGGACTGGACGAGGAGAACACCTTTGGAGAGTTTGACATTCTGCCTGAGGACGAACTGTTGGCGCTTAATGCAATCATGATGACGGATTTTCCGGAGGAGGAGAAGAAGAAAAACGTTCAGGGAGCTGATGGCGATGAAGACGGCGGAGATGAAGAGGAAGAGGAGGAGGAGGAGAATGCTGTTCACGTTAAAGAGGCGACATTTACTATTGAGGACACGGTGAAGAAGTACGCTCACCCGAATGTGCTCAGAGCGTATCGCCTAATACTGAAGAACTTTCGCGCAAATAGCGTCCTCACGAATCACTCCATCGTTCGAATGTTCGCCCGAGTTGCCGTTGATCTGAAGATGCCGCCCATGTTTTACAACTTTGGCTTCTTTCTGGTCTTTGAAAAGATTCTCAGCGACCCAGTGCTTAAACTGAAGTCCTCCTCCTCAGCATCGGCGTCAGCGGCACCAACTGAGACGTCGTCATCCACTGAAAAGACGCACAACTCAGTAATCAAAGAGTTGGGCGAGTTTGCGCATTTTATCACTCGGAAGTTCTTCAAGCTGTTGGCTAAATATCCCAACGTTGCCTCTGAGCTTTGCTTCTGTGCAAACACCCGCGATGCGTACTCAATGGAGCTGGGATGGGCTGAAGTGAAGCAAGAAAAAACGAAGAAAGGGCGAAAAGCTGAAAATGGGGACGACGAGCCAGAGGAACCCGTGCTGGAAAACATTGACGAGGATGAAGAGGCTGAAAAGGAAATCGAGGATGAAGAGGAAGAGGAGGAGGAGAAAGTTCTACAAGTTAAGAAAAAACGGAAAATTGAAAGTCTAGACGATGATCAAGAGGAGAGCACTCCATCTTCTAAGGATTATATCGATGAAGAGAAGGATGAAGATGAGGAGCAGAATGTCTCTCAAATTAAGCGAAAAAAAATGAAGATTTTCGATGACGATCAAGAGGAGGAGAGTGCCTCAGCTTCTAAGGAAAATGCTACTGAAGAAGAGGACGAGGAGGAGCAGAGTATCGCTCAAGTTAAGAAACGACGAGTTTTGATTTTGGACGACGAACAAGAGGAGAGCGCTCCAATTTCTTTGGAAAATATTGAAGTGGTGGTGGAGGAAGAGGAGAGTATCGTTAAAATTAAGAAAAAGAGAGCTACAGTGCTTGACGACGACGAGCCAATAGAAAACGTTGTTCTAACTTCTATGGAAAATATTGACGAGGATGAGGTGGAGGAAGAAGAAGAATTCGGTATCTCTCAAGTCAAGAAAAAAAGAGTGCTGATTTTTGACGATGACGACGAATGAGCATTTTATAAATCTTCATTTTTATAATCTTCTTTAAATTAAATTGTAGTGCCCAATTTTACAAAAAATTTTACGTCAATTGTCAATTTTTAAATACAATTAAAATTTATAGTGTGGAAAAATGATTAGCCATCCAATAAGATAGAGTGATCTTAGTGACTGTATCAGTAATAAAATCCACACGAGCCCTTCTTACTTCACCTAGCAGTTAGTGATCAGTGACCACAGCGAGCACACAAGGTGCTAGCAGCCCAACCACAATTTTGGCCATTGTGGCCAGTGCAGCTCTAAAAAGTCGTTTTTCTGCTATTTACCCAGTACCCCACGACCACTTTGTCCCCAGGCACACCTGAGCACTGGACCACATGTGCAGGACCACGTGTACAGAATCACTGCAATTACTGTGCCACTCTTCAAAACTCATTTTCTCCACAAACTGACCAGCCTTTACCTTTACCGCTGAACCCAACAATGGCACCATCATCACCATCATCATCTACTGTAATGATCCAGCATCTTCCCGAGCTATCGCTGCTCAGCCTCTTCCACAGCCTTCCTTTGCACTACCTGCTTCACATCGATGAGGTGTGCAGTGACTGGGGAAAGCTGAAATTAGAAGCACTTCGTCAAAGAAAGGAACTTGTCATTGTCGAAGAAAAATATTTTTTGGATAAATTTGAATGGCCTAACAATGGTTTGTTCTGGAATCCATTTGATAAACTTATCGATCTGGTGAAAAATGAGGACGGTTCACCGTACATTAAGCGCAAAGTAGGTCTTGACAATCACACCTTGTTCGTCAATTCAATCACGTGCGGCATTGCTGATCAAATCACCAGACTGATGCCCAAGCTGAAGGCGCTTCGAATTTACTACTATTACCTCAACCGGAAAGAGTTAGAACAAATCAACCGTCTGCTCACTTTCTACCGTCACCAGCTTGTTGAAGTGAACATTTGCTTTCAGGGGGAAATAAGATCTTCTGAAACATTGTTGAAGTCGCTCTTCTTAATACTAAAGAGCATGACAGCGCTGAAGATTTTGAACCTTGACTTTAATCCGCTTCATTCGGAATATTTGATTTCCGCTGACCTGAGCGTGTTGAGTCGTCTAGAAATTGTAATCTTAAAAGGAATAGAAGAAACGTGTTTTTTCAATCAGCTGAAACAGTACGCAGAAGGAAACGAACGCCTTAAAATACTGTATTTTCTTTTTCCATTTAAACCTCTAAATGAATATCTTGCACTTGGTCCTCGAGTCAGCGCGGCGGTTCGAGATGTTCGCTTTACAGAAACGAACCCTCATGCAACCTTTAATTATGACAATTTCAAACGTTTTACTCAACAGTACATTAATCTACAGCATCTGAGGGTTTGGTTTGACAACATCTCATTGGTTCAGCTCACAAAGGCGCTGGCAACCTCTTGCAAAAAACTAGTTTATCTGACTGTCAAGAGCAGATTTGACGAGATGGCCCTTTCTGAGCTGGAAAACAGCTTGCCTGTAAACCTGCTACCCGTTCTGCCCAGTTTAAAAATTTTAAAGTAAGTAAAAAGTATGAAAAAACTTAATTTTGTATTTAGCTATACTAACATGCTTAATGTTGTTTTTCACAGAATCGGTTTCATTTCACCTAGCCATCGAATTTTTGAGTTGCTGAACATGAACTTGCTTTTTCCTAACGTGCAAGTGGCTGATCTTAAAGTTTGTTATCCAAAGCTATGCACTGACTGCTATGCAGACCAGGAGCCATCTTTGGTTCAGAATGATCCTGAGCAAAAGAAAATTTACTATCGCCAAGCCCACACCTGTGTTCGTCTGGCTCATTCTTCGTTTGCAAAATTTAGAAAATTGACTGTTCTGTGGACTTTAACTGACAGCGAAAAAATTGATTACTTAAAGAATTACTCTTTCAATCATGAAACCTTAAAAGAATTTATCAGTTTAGATAAAATTCAGCCAAATTCAAGTGCTGATGATTTTGATAAAAAGTTTTTGCATAGTAATTATTCATTGTTATAAGGCAATTATTCTGATTTTGAATAATGTGTAACTTTAATGTGAGATGATTATACAAATAAATAAAACATTGCAGTTCAAAAACAGAAAGTAATGTACAATTTACAAAATTTACATTCGCAACAACTTGGGGAAAGTTGCCCGACTGGTGTGACACGATTTATATTTTACAGCCAGTGCTTCTTGTACTCCATGTGGTCTTTTCGATCCTCTTTCCGCTCACGGCAGTGCAGAAAGTATATTGCAATAATGAGAAAGACGCACAATATACAGAGGAAAGCTAGTGAGAACATCGAGTAGATGCCCATGTTGATGTACACTCTTTTGTACCAGTTTTCTGGCTGGTCCAGCTGGTAGGGCACAATGACCAGCTTCGAGCCGGGAATGTCCTCTTCCCAGGCCCGCCGGCGAGTTTTGCCGGCGCCATTGGGAATGCTCACCTTCAGATCGCTGACGACATTGAGAATGTCGCCCAGTCTGGAAATTAGAGCGATTAGAGAGAGGTGAGAAGAAGAATGCGGAACAGGAAATGTTAACCGAAACCCAAAACTTACCCAAAGATCATGTATGGAAGCTGAAGTGCAAAGTGCGCAGATTGCGTCAGCTGCGCCGAGCAGCTGTGTTGCGTAGTGTACGGCCCGGCAAAGCAGACATTGGGACCGTGCGGATTGCTGCCCAGTGCCACCTGATCTTTGCCCCTGACCTTCGGACACTGCACATTCTGGTCGCCCTCCTTGTCGGTGCACCGGCCGGTAATGACGGTCACTCGAATGAAGGAGTAGTACAGCCGGTGGTCAATGTAGTAGTCGTAGGAGACCGTCTGCAAGGTGTTCCCCTGCTCCTGGTTGAACTTGGTGAGCAGCAGCACCAGGCGACCATTGTCGTACAGGTCAAAGAGTGACACCATGGCAATCGACTCGGCGTACCTCCCCTCAGAGAGCCAGCACAGTTGAAACTTGCGCTTAAACGGATTGCTCAGCGCTTCAGTGTTGTTGTCCGCCATGTTCAGGTAAATGGCGGCAAAGGTTCTGCCTGACTGGACGTCCACTAGAATGGTGGCAAAGTCAGGGTAGCCGTCGTAGTTGAGGTCGCCGACGCGAAGCGCCACCGGAACGGTGATTTCATTGTAGAAGAAGGACTGCTCCGAAAAGGACAGCGTTCGGTTGTTTGGATTAACGCTGACATTGGCCGGTTCAGGGTCGAGGACGTTGATCCACTGGCGAGTGTCGTGATGCCAGGCCACCAGGCCGATGCTTCGGCAGTCCTTGAAGTTGCCAGCTTTGCTCTCCAGACAGACCGGTATGAGATGGGTCATCTGACCGGCGTAGTTAAAGTCCATGAACGCCGATTGTCCTCGAAGCTTATGTTTAGGATAACTGGAGCAAACTTACAAGTTAAAATAAAGAAAATCGCGTAAGAATAACTGACCTTATGTTTTCTTTCATCGAAAACCCCTGCTCTTCAACGTTGTAAATGTACTTGATTTCCTTCTCTCCAGCCAAAAAGATGTCAGTGTTCATATTCTTTTGGTAGTGTTCTAAATTGAGAAATGCACTCGAGTGCGGTTTGGCAAAAACAAACTCATCGTCGGTGAGATTTTTCAAGCAGATGCCTGAAGGCTTTCGATTTGAATAAGGCGCGGTAACAATTTCTGACTCAGTCACATTGTGGCCTAACCATAAGTAAGTTTTACATGTGCGCGTAGAGACAATAAAGTCCATGATCATGTCGCCATTGTAGTCTGTGAAGAAGAAAGTTAGTAAAACTGATAAGGCAATAAGTAAACAAATATTACCAAGAACAAATGGCTCTGAAAGTACATCGGTGAGAATATCATTCATATTGGAGCAGTTGAGATCTGCGCTTCCACCTGATGCCAGGTAAATTTTGAAAGTGCCCTTATTAACCTCCTTGACGGTTACCAGCAGGTCAAGTCGGTTTTGTCCGGTGAAATCAGAAGGCACCAAATTGNATCGGTGAGAATATCATTCATATTGGAGCAGTTGAGATCTGCGCTTCCACCTGATGCCAGGTAAATTTTGAAAGTGCCCTTATTAACCTCCTTGACGGTTACCAGCAGGTCAAGTCGGTTTTGTCCGGTGAAATCAGAAGGCACCAAATTGACGATTGGCTCCGTAAAAGGGCACTCCAGTCCAGTCCAGTTGATCAGACAGTCACGGTCGCCAAAGAGGCTAAGCACCGTTTTGCCATCTGCAAAATAATGAACGCGTTTAGAAGTGTTAGAACTGGCACCGAAGTAGGCACTCGGTCACTTACCAGAGCAGTCTTTGCCTTTCATGGCTTGAATGGAGTAGCCGTCGTTTGTGATGAAGAACCTAAAGTGGTGAAA